CCCCCCCCCCCCCCCCTCAAACAAAAATACAGTTGAACTTCCAGTAAGAGACCACCCAGGATGTCAAGCCTAAGTGGGAGGTGGTTGCTTATGAGAGCTTAGACCATTATGGGTCAAATTTTACCATATGGTAACTGCGGAGAAGTTTCGAGAAAAATCCAGTACATCCCATTGAGCAATTTCCATCTCTTATACTTACAACACCTTATTTTCCAGTTTCCCCTCTATTATTTGTCAAGTGGTCAATTACAAGAGGTTAAAAACAAAAGAAAATTTCAAACTTTTAGCTCTTAATGTGGTCACGGTCACTTAAGAGAGTTGGTCGCTTACAAGAAGTTCTGAATATAGTGATTTGACTTGGAAACTTTTGGCATTTTGGAAAACTGGTCACTGAGGAGAGGTGGTCGCAACTGGAGGTTTGACTGTACTTGTCAAATTTTCTTACCTGAATAATACCTGGAATAAAAAATTTCAAACAGAGAAACATCCTTCCATCAATCCCCACTAGTTGAAATCCATAGTAACCCCCTGGGGGTAGAGCACTTCATTTGTATCACACAGATCATGGGTTCAAATCCCTTTCAAACCTGACTTGGTTTTTCCAGGTCTTATTTTCACAACTGCCTGACTTGCATAGTGTGACTGCCATAATACATGTAACTTAAATTCTTTGCTTCTTGTAAGTATTTTCTACAAATGGTGCTGGTTAGACTTGAAGGGTCCTTGTTTAAATGGAGGCACTACATGAAGTTCTCACAAACTTCTAATGTGGGGAATGGGCAGACTGGGTTGTTTGCAACTGTATATGATAATTGGCATTTACTGGAAGAAAAGTTTTAATCAAATCATTGGAAAAAATTAAATTGGTAAGGTCTTTTTATGTAGCTTGTAAAATTATTTTTCAATTTATTTGCAGCAATGGTATTTGTTAATCACTACTTGGCATTTGACTACTTTTCGTCTGTCTGGTATCCATTTTCTGAGGTATTGTAGTATTTTATTGTTTTTATTATTACAGTGCAAACTGTTATTTGTGATTAGCAGGGTGCAAAGAAAAGCAATTTCCAAGCCTCACTTTTTTTTTGGACTTTACTCTCTTCAGATCCTAGCTTACTTCACAATCTGTTTATGGATTCTGCCATTTGCTTTTTTTGTATCATTATCTGCAAGTGAAAATGTGTTACCAACAGCATCCACAGCTCCCGAAGATACAAGAGGTACATAGACCATTCAGTCACCAATAATAATTATACAGTATATTATTGTTTAGACCATGAAATTCAGAAATTCATTTTTCACTCCCTCTGAAAAACATATGTTGACACTTTTCAGCCTAGTGAATGATCAACTTGAGAACCTGATCAAATGAGATCTTTGACCTACTGAAAAGGAAAACAAAACTATTTGAAACATTTATTTTTGACCTCTAAAACTCCATAATAAGTGAAGTTTGACCATACATGTACATTGTGCATGATTATTAATTTATTGAATAAAAACCATTCCTTAGTGAAGGAAATTTTCACCTTTTTTTTCTTCACAGAACCAAGCTATGCCTATGCAGGCCAAAGGTCAAGTCGCAGGCATGGACTCCTAGCAGTTTTTAATTTCTTGTCCAGGAAAACAGAGGGATATTTACCAACTAGAACAAAAACATATTAAGCACCTTTTGTAAAATATATATGCTGTGTCTGATCCATGTTCCTATTTCAGAGGTTATATTCATATTTTGTTCCAGGCAAGTTGGTCAGTGTGCTAGAAAACGTGCTACTCGTAATGCAGAAATGGCAAGATGTGCTTCACATGTAGGCAACTGAGAGTCTGAAGAAGACACCAGCTTAGCCCAAGTGAACAGATTTTCCTGAATACCTGAAATCCCTCCTAAAGGATTCAAGAGTATTCAAGCCTGGTTCCTCCTGTTTGTTATAGTTACCCTTTATGTCACACTCATTGTTATATTTTCAATTTAGATCCAGCAGTGTCACTGATGATTCTTAGGCTGTAAGAATCATTATTTTTTGTCACTTAACACTAGGCAGGCTGGTTAGATTTTCTGTATTTAAACCTTGTGTGGGAAGTGATCATTGCAAAACACATTTTAACCTTTTTAAAGGGATTTTTTGCTAAAAAAAAAAAAACAAAGATGCTGCCTGTAGGTCTACTGTATATTATAAGAACATACAAAGTTCACAGAAAAAGAAATAATATAAATATTATGGGTTATGTGAGGTTTTTCAGTCTACTCTCTTCAGCCCATGCCTTCACATCAATTATTTCCCAAGCAAATTTCAATAAAAATAAAACATTTCTAGTACAAGTATGGTTAGTGTATAACGTGTTGTGAGTAGTTATCCTATTGGCTTACTTGAGAGTACATTACGGTGCGCAAGACGGTCTGCATGTTTGCCGGCTAATTTAATTTAAGAAGTAGAAAACGTTTTCTGTGTTTCTATGGAGTTACAAAAACACGAGTGGAGAACGGAAAATGCTGTGGGAACACCTGTCCAGCTTTAGACAAGTGTTTCCGCAGCTTTTATCGATTGCTGCATGTCAACATGACCTGATACAAGCAATTGAAGAGCCTGAAAGTCCTTGTCAATATAATAACGTGCTCAGCTATCAGTGAAAAAAAGTTAACAAAAAGTAAATTTGTTGAAAAAATAACTTTTTGGGAAGTTATTACGGGACCTACATCAGGACATACAGACAAACACTTAAGTGAGCATCTCTAAAAAGGACTTTTCGACATCTAGATTAAACGGTTAACATACAGAAACTAGATAAACTATTTACCGGATAAAATGTTTAAGCAAGAAACCGGAACGATGATCCTGCTGGTGTACGTTGGATCAGTAGTGATCTAATCGGCTTCACATACAAAATGAAGAATATAAAAGCGGAAACCGACACAACGTAGGATGATTTTTTAAGGTGTATTATACTTCGGTTGGCCAAACCAGCCTTCTTCAGGTACAATGAGAATTTTACATTGGGACGTGTTTTTATGTGGCATATTTTCGTAACACCGAAAATATGTAAAACTAATTGACAGTGTAAATTAAAGTTACGCATACGGTAAAATAAAATAATGAAATAACATAATAAAAGGAAACTATGTTTCTTGGCGGATGTTCAGCCAATCAGCGAACATTGACAATTGAATTAAAAAGCTCTGCTTGGACGTGTTTTATTACTGAAGTCGGGACAGACAGCATGGACGCTGCGTAGATCAATTGAGACACTCCTAACGTCTTAGCTGGTAAAGAGTTACCATATAGCATAAGATCCCTAGAAAGCCATAAATTCAACTTAGTTTTCATCTTTCTAATCCTATTCACGAAGTCCACTTCAACATTCTTATTTTCATTTGTTACCCGACTCTGCTACGCTCAGCACCTTTATTGATCTTTATTGTTAGTACTTTCTCCCGTCACATGCAAGTTAAACAAGGTAATTCGAGCAAACGAACTCAGACCGAAACATGGAGAAAGAGAGCTGAGGTGAAAAGTAGAAAATAGTTCGTTGGCAGTGTATACTTGGTACGTAAAATGAGAGTCTCGTGTATTCAAAACAAGATTGCTGACCAAGAGAAAATAACACCTGTATCAGCCTGTGTTTTTACGTACTGAAAACAACGAGTTGCTCCTGTGTAGATACGGAGAGATTACAATAATCTTTTATTCAGTGACCGATTAAGTTGTTTTAACAACCAGTCTGAAGAGAACTGAAGATACAACTCTGGGCTGAAACAAAACAGAAACAGAAACAATAGCCCGGCGACGAAATAAACCAAGCATTGGTCAGCGGACTTACTCGAGAGTTGGTGTTGAAGTTTCTTTACTCCGTCAAAATTTAGATCCACATGCAAATAACTGGGACAAATACATAAATAAATGGTAAACATACATGTGTTGCTCGAGAAAAAAATTCCAGAGATACGTTACAGTCGCTACGGTGCCAAAGATCCAGCGAACGCCACTAAATGAGGGTACCCTCCCCCTACCCCGTAAGGCTCCGACAACGTGGATAACTTTTAAGGTAGCTCCCTATAGTTTTACGATCGCACGGGCGCTGAGGAAGTAATCTGCGCGTGCTCAAAGGAAAACGTTAGTGTTTTGCGATATTTTATTACGTCAACATGAGCACAAAAAGCAAAACTGGCGATGAATTTTCTCGCGTTTCCTTCGGTGAAATTCCGTAAAATTTGGCAGATTGGTAGTAAATACTTAACTTTAGGCGGAGCTCGTTTTTTCAGTGAAATCTATAAGACCAGATTTTTTGCAGCCGTAAAAGACATAAATTTGAAAATATCGAAGAAACTGCCTTTACAAACCCTACTTTTTTCGTGTTTAAACTTCGTATCCCGCTGGAAGCGATGTGATGTAAAAATTTTGGAAGATTTCACCGAAGGAAATTCTTGAAAATCACAAATAAAGCCGTAAAAACAGTAAAAAACACATTTGTTTGGGCATTTATAATTTAAGACTAAATCCCAAAATTTAACAGAGATGATGGCAAAACACTATTTAATCATTCCTTATTACATGTAATAAGTTTGAGAGGACTAGGTGTGAAAGCGAATGCAAAAACAGCTTTCAAAAATTAATTTCTCCCTTGCGTCTTAGGTCATAAGACTGTCATAGGTGACTTACGCCAAAGTGGCGTGTGCTGACAGAACAAGCGACATTTGCTTTAAGTCGGTGGTACCGACATTTCCTTCACACCCAAAAAAAAAACCCCGGAGTTTATTGTACTTAATTGTGCCAAATAGCCATGAAGAAAAGCTAGCAGGAAATCAGTTTCAAGAATTTGCTGCTCTGAAATTTCCCACTTATCGCAAAAAATTAAGATCATACAAAATGCCTTAGATCACAGGAGAAAGGCGTGGTGAAAGGAACGGAAGTTACGATTATTGAGGATGACTACAACTTCCGATAAACCTGTGCCTTCGCCCACATTGACATGCAAATTTGAAAGCATTGATTTCTTGAAAGAATAGAAATATTTTCAGCCAGATGTTGTGGCATGAATTTCCGAGTAAATTTAATCCTTGCCAAAGAAGAAATAATCCCTCCCCTTATTGACGTTTCTTCTTAGATTCTCCTTCACAATTTCATCTTGCATCATAAAGTAAGCCAAGCGCCATATTTACGTCTTATGCTATGCCGCCTGTCAGCTGCGCGTGCTGTGATTGGCTGAAACGCAGGTGACCAGAGAAGTCGTTTACGTCGGCGGTTCGGAAGTGGTGTTTTCGTGCTTGATAAACTGCGTCGTGTTTCACTCTGCTAGAATGGAGAATAACAATCAGAGCAGGCAAGATCCGTTTGCCGAATATATGTGGATGGAGAATATGGAGGACTTTGACCGCGAAGTAGAGGAGCAATTCCTCGAAGAAGAGTTCATTCGCGCATGTATTGAACAACTGCTCGAAGAAGAAGATGAACGCGAAACGCTCACAGCGGCAGAAATAATTGCTCAACAGCAACTACAGAACCTACAGAGTAAAGATTCAGCGCAACAAGGAACAACTCAAGGCTCGTTTCGAAGTGGTTTTCAAGGAAGCAGCGTGTACTCGAACGGGTACACGAACGGCTACGGCAATCACGACTTCAACGTTGTGGTGAGTTCTCGAATAGCTTCGTTTTTGAATGATTCATTGTTGTGTCATTGTCATAAATGCCTGAGGTTTGTTATGTATGTTATTGGCAGGTAGAATAATAAAAATTCAACCTTTCTAGGAGCATTAACGTTGTATTGGGTTTAAATTATACAAGGTCAGGTGAAAACCAATGTGGAGGGTATGTGACAACTCGGCATACGGGCAGTCTTTGTTCAGTTGTAGTACTGTGCGTTTTTTGTGATTAGTTTTGTGTTATTATACAGCATAGATGAAGTTATAAATGTTTTATAGTGATAATTTATAAATATATTTGTCGTTTTGTCGCAGAACTAAGATTGAAATAAGTGTTACGGTCTCCGCGATGCCTCTGCCCTGTTATTGCGCATTTGTTCAATGTAAGCTTATGTTGTCGTCATCCTGTAATCCCCAACGAATAACGACACTGTGTTAATATTTAGTGCGTTTTTAAACCACACTTGGCCCGACTAGTTTACGTTACCTTCTTAGCGCGAAAATAAATCTTTGTATTAAACTCGTTCCCATAAACTTTCGTACATCTTCAAAGAAGTAGTTTTTTTGCGAGGAGAGATGCAATTTTGAGAATGATTTGCACATTGCATTGTTTAAAAGGCTCTGTATGAAAAGACCAAATTCAATTATCAAAACTGCAATTGTTGGAAATTTTTAATTTATTCGATTTCATTTGGAATACGCCAATACCTTCTCTGTTGTTTTGTTTTAATACGCGGCATCTACGTGTAAATCATGGTTTATGATAAGGTGTAGTAAGATATGAAACATTTATGGTGATTCCTTTGTCCTTGTATTTTGCTGTTTGTTAGGTTCAGTGATTGAATCATTTGTGTTTACCTCAAAATAACTAAATTAGCATGTCTTCTCTTTGAATCATTTTGTGATGGAGGACCAATGTTCAGGTGTAACAAATGAACAAACTTTGATTTATGACCATGCAGTTGTCCTTCTAGAAATCAGTTATGTTTTCTCAAGTATTTAATAGGCCTAAAATCCCAATTGCTTGAATCTGATTGGCTAAATGTTGGCTCTCAAAAAGTCCATCATTTTCCTTTCTGGACCAGATTTACCCAGCTGTAATCCATGCTAAGTCATTTTACATCAACACAAATCGCTGTGCTGCAGTTCCTTTATTCCTCCCATGCGGAGTTACCTGCCTATATAGCCTGCCAGCAGGCTCAGATTTGAGTCATTCACACAAGCAAAGAGCAAGCAATCTGGTGGAGGGAGTCTGATGGGCCATGGCTTCCCAAATTGAGCCTGTTCTCTGGCTAGCATATATAATTTAAAGTGAACTTACAGATAAAATGTACATTTGCTTTACCAGATATAACTTTGATTTGCTAGAACAGTA